GCAACCACAAAGTAAATATCTGTAGAATATATGCAAAAGGAAATGTAAAGGGAATCAAAACATGTCACTACCCAAAATCAGTTAAACACAAAGGAAGGCAATAAGTGAGAAATCAGAGACAAAATGGTATAAGACGTATAGAAGACAAGTAACAAAATTTCAATAGTAAGTCCTCCCCTATGAGTAATTACTTTAAATGTAAATTAATTAAACTTCTAAATGAAAAGACATAGATGGGCAGAATGGATTACAAAAACAGGATCCAACTATATACTGTCTACAACAGACTCACTTTAGATCTAAGGACACACATAGATTAAATATGAAAGGATGGAAAAAATATCCCATGCAAATACTAACCAAAAGACAGCAGGAGTGGCTATACTAATATCAGACAAAGTAGACATTAAGTCAAAAACAGTTACAAGAGACAAAGAAAATTATATAATGATAAATGTCAATTCACCAAGAAGATATAATTATAAATATGTATGCACCAAGCATCAGACCTTCTAAATATAAGAAACAAATATAGAAGGAATTTAGGGGAGAAATAGGCAGCTTTACAATAATAGTGGAGACTTTGATATTTCCTTTTCAAAAATATATATAACACTCAGACAAAAGATCAATAAGGAAAGAGAGGACTTGAACATCATTATAGACCAAGTGGACCTAGCAGGCATATGCAAAACACTCCAACAGTAGTAGAATACACATTTTACTCAAGAGCATATGGAGCATTCTCCAGAATAGACAATATGTTAGGCCACAAAACGAGTCTTAATGAATTTTAAAAGATTGAAATCATACAAACTATCTTTTCTAATCATGATGGAATGAAACTAGAAATAAATAGCAGAAAGAAAACAGGAAGACCCAGAAATATGTGAAAAATAAACAACACACAAACAACCAATGGGTCAAATAAGAAAACACAAAGGATATTAGAAAATATCTTGATACAAATGATAAAGTAAACACAACATACCAAAATTTATGAGATGCAGTGATAGCAGTGCAGAGATAAACTTATACATGTAAACATGTATATTAAAAGAAGAAAGATCTCAAATCAAAAACATAATGTTATACTTTAAGGAACTAGAAAAAGAAGAACAAACCACGTGAGTGATGTCACCAAGATGGTGCAGTAGAAGATCCCAGCCTCTGTCCCCCTACAAAGATCAACGATTAGACAGCTATCTACAAACAAAAATAGCTCTGGGAGAGCCCCGAAATTTACTTAAGAAGCTTCAGAAACACAAAAAACAGAAAAAGAAAAATCCTGAGAAAAACCACACAAAAAGGGAAGGAAGTACAGCTTCCTTTCACCTGCATCATCCCATCCCCCAGACTGGCATTGCTCAGTGCCAGGAGGTAAGTCTCTAGCTAGAAAGAGCTTTCCTCACAGGAAAAGGGAGAACAGGGTGAGAGACCAGCTCCCCCAGGCTTTTGGGGCACTGCATGAAGGACTCAGTGGCCAGCAAAGTTGGGACCTATAGAGACAGCTAGGAACAAGGAAAAAGAGCAGAGGCTACCAATATCAGCCATGCAGTGGTAGTGACTGCAGTTCCCAATGACCTGCTCTGCAAAGGACCCCAGCAGCTTCTGCCACTGAAGAAATCAATGGCCAGCACAGACACTGTGGACCCCCTGCAGATGTCATTGGTTTTCACTCCATAGATATTCGCATTCACAGACTCCAGCCGCCTGAGTCCCTCTGCGCTCCCTTCTCCTCCCCAATCCTTGCTGGAGCTTGGGACCTATACCTACAGCCAGCCCAGGCCTCTGTAGCTATGTGAGTACAAGATACCAGCCTAGATTCCAGTGCTTGACCCACAATGGGGTGTGTGCACTTAGGGCTATCCCCTCCAGCCATGTACTTGCATGCTGCTGGCCTGACACTTGTCACTGGCCTCTACAGTCATGCGCATGCCTGTGGCAAGATCCTACAGCCACAGAAGTGCACAACAACAGCCAAAGCCCCATGGCTGATTATGGGACCAGATTCAGCCCTATATCCAGTCACTGGCCTGCACCACTGGGCTCACTTGCAGCTAGCCCTCCCAGCTGTGCACCTGCACACCCCAGGCCTGATCCTTGTCACTGGCCTCCACTGCAGTGTGCATACCTGTGGAGAGACAATGCAGCCACAAGACTGCATGCTAACAGCCAGGGCTCCCACAGCTGCCTGTGGGCCCAGATCCAGCCCTGTCTTCTGTCTGGCATGCACCACTGGGCTCACCTACAGGTAGCCCCTCCAGCTCTGCACCTGCATGCCCCTAGCCCAACTGCCTACACTGGCCTCCACTATTGTGCATGCACTCATGGGAAGCCCATGCAGCCACAGGAGTGCACGCTGACAGCTGGAGCCCTTGCAGCTGCCAGTGTGCCCACAGTTTTCCCAGGCCTTTGCTGCTGGCCCTGGCCCCCATCACTACATGTGTGTCTGTAACTGGCCCTTGCCACTACACAGGCACCTCCAAATAGCCTCTGCAGCTGAGTATGTAAACATCACTGGCTCCAGCCACTACCACTGCCTGTCCTGGTCCCTAAGCTGCTGAAGCTGGAGGCACTGCTGAGGACACCAATAGCCCTTGCATCCACTCAGACCTCCCATAGCACTTGCCAAGGACCATGCATTTGATGCTGTGGATCACAGCAGCCTGAGCTGACAAGACATCATGCCCACCTAAACCTGGAGCTGCCATAGACCCCTGAATTTGGACTCTACACTACCAGACCAGGGATCACAGCACACTTCAGTGTGCCCCCACCCACAGATGCAGGTGTTTCCTTACCAAAGTCAGTCAATAAAGTCAGGAAGAGGTGATTGCTTCTTCAAATGTGCAGACACCTATACAAGCCTCTGAGGACAACAAAGAATCAGGGAAACATGACACCTCCAAAAGAACACAGTTGACTTCCAGTAACTGACCCCAAAGAAATAGAGATACCAGAATTGCCCAACAGAGAATTCAAAATCATTGTTCCAAAGATGTTCAGAGAGGTCAAAGAGAACACAGATAAACAATTTAATGAAATCAGGAAAATAGGGGCTGGCCCTGTGGTGCAGTGGTTAAGTTCAGCGTGCTCTGCTTTGGCGACCTGGGGTTCACAGGTTTGGATCCTGGGTGCTGACCTACACCACTCATCAAGCCATGCTGTGGCAGCATCCCACGTACAAAATAGAGGAATATGGGCACAGAGGTTAGTTCAGGGCCACTCTTACTCAGCAAAAAGAGGAAGATTAGCAACAAGTGTTATCTCGGGGTCAATCTTCCTCACCAAAAGAAAAAAAAAGAAATCAGGAAAATAATATAAGAACAAAATAAGAAGTTCAACAAAGAAATAGAAAACATAATAAAGAAAAAACAAATTTTGGAGCTGAAGAATACAATGACTGAACTGAAGAATTCAATAGAGAGCTTCAACAACAGACTGAACCAAGCAGAAGAAAGATTAAGTGATCTTGAGGACAGGTCATTTGAAATTTTGCAATTATCCAGTCAGAGGGGCAAAAAGAAAAAAGAATGAAAAGGAATGAATAAAGTCTACAGGACTTATGGGACACCCTTAAGAGAAATAATTTACATAACACTGGAATCTCAGAAGGAGGAGAGACAGAAAGAAAGGTGCAGTAAGCTTACTTATAGAAATAATGGCTGCTCTCATCACAAGGAAAAAATTGTAACTATGTGAGGTGATAGGGGTTAACTAAACTTATTGTGGTAATCATTTCACAATATATACATATATCAAATCATTGTGTTGCACACCTTAAACTTATACAATGTTATATGTCAATTGTACCTCAATAAAACTGGGAAAAAACTGAGAACTTCCCAAACATGGGGAGAGATTTGGACATCCAAGTTCGTGAAGCTAATAGGTCACCCCATAATTTCAATCCAAAACAATCTTCTCCAAGACACATTATAATAAAACTGTCTAAAATCAAAGACAAAGAATTTTAAAAGTGGCAAGAGAAAAAAATTTCCTTCACACAAGGGAACCCCCCATAATGCTATCAGGAGGTTTCTCAGCAGAAATCTTGGAGGCCAGAAGAGAGTGGTATGATGTATTAAAAGTGCTGAAACTAAAAAAACAAACAACAACAAAAAAACTGCCCACTACAAATACTTCACCCAACAAAGTTGTCCTTCAGAAAATAAGGCAAGAGAAAAAATTTCCTGAACAAAGGCTGAGGGGGTTCACCACCACTATACCTGCCTTACAAGAAATGCTGATAGGAATTCTTCAAACTGAAATGAAAGGACACTAGTTAGTAAAAGGAAAAAATATGAAAATATACAACACATTGTTATAGTCAAGTATATAGTCAGATTCAGAATCTCTTAAGGTCATTATATAATGATAAAGGGGTCAATCCCTCAAGAGGATGTAAGAATTATAAATAAATATGTACCCAACATCAACATCAGATTACCTAAATATATTAAGCAAATACTAATAGATCTGAAGGGAGACATAGACAAAAATACAATAATAGTAGAGGACTTTAATACCTCACTTTCAAAAATGGATAGATCATCCAGTCAGAAAATCAATAAGGAACCATTGGACTTGAACTATACTTTACACCAAATGGACCTAACAGAGATATACAGAACATTCCATCCAATAGCAGCAGAATATACATTCTTTGCAAACGTACATGGAACATTCTCCAGAAAAGATCATATGATAGGACACAAAACAAGTCTTAGGAATTTAAGAAGATTGAAATCATACTAAGTATCATTTTCAATCACAATAATATGAAACTAGAAATCAATAAGAGGAGGAAACTGGAAAATTCACAAACATGTGGAAATTAAACAACAAACTCCTGAAAAATCCAATGGGTCAAAAATGAAATCAAAAGGAAAATTTTAAAAATCTTGAAACAAATCAAAATGAAACACAAATACTGAATCTTACAGGATTCAGCAAAAGCAGTGTTAAAAGGGAAGTTTATAGCAATAAATGCTTACATTAAGAAAAAATAAAGATCTCAAATAAGCAACCTATCATTATGCATCAAGGAACTAGAAAAACAAAAACAAACTAAGCCCAAAGGGAGCAGAAGGAAGGAGATAAATATCAGAGGAGGAATAAATGAAATAGAGAATAGAGAAACACTAGAAAAGACTACGAAACTGAGTCGATTTTTCTAAAAGATAAACAAAAAAATTGACAAACCTTTAGATAGAATTACCAAGGAAAAAAGAGAAAGGACCCAACTAAATAAAATTATAAATTAAAGAGGAGACATTACAACTGATAGCATAGAAATATGAAGGATCACAAGAGACTACTATGAACAATTACATGCCAACAAATAGGACAACCTAGAAGACGTGGAAAATTCCTAAACACATACAACCTACCAAATCTGAATCATGAACAAATAGGAAATCTGAACAGACCAATAATAAGTAAGGAGATTGAATCAGTAATAGAAAACCTAACAACAAAGAAAGCCCAGAACAGGATGGCTTCATGGGTGAATTCTACCAAACGTTTAAAAAAGAATTAATGCCAATTGTTCTCAAACTCTTCCTTAAAATTGAAGAAGAGGGAACACTCCCAAACTCATTTTACAAGGCCAGCATTACCCTGATACCAAAGCCAGATAAGGATACTACAAGAAAAGAAAACTACAGGCCAATATCCCTGATGAATATAGACGCAAAAATTCTTAACAAAATACTAGCAAACCAAATTCAACAGCATATTAAAAGTATCATACACCGTGATCAAATGGATTTTATCCCTGGTTTGCAAGTGTGGTTCACCAAAAGTAAATCAATAAATGTGATACACTACATTAATAGAATGAAAGACAAAATTATATGATGATTCCAATAGATGCAGAAAAAGCATTTGATAAAAGTCAACATCCTTTCACGGAAAAATACCCTCAACAAATTGGTTATAGGAGGAAAATACCTCAGCATAAGAAAAGCTACACATGACAAACCCACAGCTAACATCATACTCAATGGTAAAAGATTGAAACCTTTCCAGCAAATCAGGAACAAAACAAGGGCGCCCACTCCACCCTCTTACCATTCCTATTCGGGATAGTTCTGGAAGTCCTAGCCAGAGCAATTAGGCAAGAAAAAGAAAGAAAAGGATCTAAATCAGAAAGAAAGAAGTAAAATTGTCTCTTTGCTGATGACATCATCTTGGATATAGAAAATTCTAAAGACTCCACAAAAAAACTGTTAGAACTAGAAATAAATTCAATAAAGTTTCAGGATAAAAAATCAATGTACAAAAATCAGTTGTATTTCTATACACTAACAATGAATTCTTTACAAAAAGAAATAAAACAACCAATCCCATTTACAATAGCATCAAAAACAAAAAATACTTAGTAATATTTTAACCAACGAAGTGAAATATCTATACATCAGAAACTATAAGACATTGATGAAAGAAATTGAAGAAGACACAAATAAATGGAAAGATATCCCATGTTCATGGATAAGATTTAATATTGTTAAAATACCCAGACTACCCAAAGCAGTCTACAGATTCAATGCAATCGCTATCAAAATTCCAATGGCATTTTTCACAGAAATAGAAAAATCAAACCTAAAATTAATATAGAACAAAAGACCCCAAAGAGTCAAAGCAATCTTGAGAAAGAACAAAGCTGGAGGCATCGCTCTTCCTGATTTCAAACTATATTATCAAGACAGTATTGGGGTCAGCCCATGGCATAGCGGTTAGGTGCACGTGCTCCGCTGCTGGCGGCCCAGGTTCGGATCCCCGGCGGGCACTGATGCACCTCTTGTCAGGCCATGCTGTGGCGGCGTCCCACATAAAGTGGAGGAAGATGGGCACAGATGTTAGCACAGGGCCAGTCTTCCTCAGCAAAAAGAGGAGGATTGGTGCAGATGTTAGCTCAGGGCCGATCTTCTTCACACACACACACAAAAAAAGACAGTATGGTACTGGTATAAAAACAGACACACAGACCAATGGAACAGAATCAAGAGCCCAGAAATAAACCCATGCATATATGGTCAACTAATATTTGACAAGGGAGCCAAGAATACTCAATGGGGAGAGGACAGTCTCTTTAATAAATGGTAATGGGAAAACTGGATATTCACATACGAAAGAATTAAATTGGACCCCTATTTTACACCACTCACACAAATTAACTTGAAATTGATTAAGGACTTAAATGTAAGATCTGAAACTGTAAAATTCCTAGAAGAAAATATAAGGGAAAAGCTCCTTGACATTGGTCTTACAATGAGTTTTTTGATATGACACCAAAAGCACCAGCAACAGAAGGAAAAATCAAGCAAGAAGTGAGACTACATCAAACTAAAAAGCTTCTGCACATCAAAAGAAACAACAAATGAAAAAAATATTTGCAAAACATATATCTGATAAGGGGTTAACATCCAAAATATATAAAGATTTCGTACAACTCAATAGCAAAATAACAAAAAATCTGATTAAAAAATGGGCAGAGGACTCGAATGGCCATTTTTCCAAAGAAAACATACAGATACACAAACAGATGCTCAACATCACTAACCATCATGTAAATGCAAATGAAAACTGCAATGAGATATTGCCTCACACCTGTTAGGATGGCTATTATCAAATAAGAGAAGTTCTGGCGAGGACTGTTGGTGGGAATGTAAATTGATACAGCCACTATGGAAAACATTATGAACGTTCCTCTAAAAACTGAAAATATATCTACCATATGATCCAGAAATCTCACTTCAAGTTATGTATCCAAATGAAACGAAATCAGTATCTCCATGAGATAGCTGCACTCCAATGTTTATTGCAGTATTACTCATGATAGCCAAAACATGGAAACTTCTCAAGTGTCCATTAATGGAAGAATGGATAAAGAAAATGTGGTATATAATAGAATATGATTCAGCCAGAAGAAAAATGGAAACCTTGCCATTTGCGACAAGATGGGTGGACCTTGAGGGCATTATGCAAAGTGAAACAAGTCAGACAGAGAAAGACAAATACTGTATGATCTCACTTATATGTGGCATCTAAAAAACATCAAACTTACAGAAACAGAGAGTAGAATGGTGGTTTCCAGGGGCTGAGAGCTGTGGGGGAAATGGGGTGATGTTGGTCAAAGGGTACAAACTTTCAGTTATGAGAAGAATAAATTTTTTAGATCTAAGGTACAGCACGGTCACTATAGTTGACAATACTGTACTGTATGCTTGAAAGTTGCCATGAGAGTAGAGCTTTAATGTTCTCACCATAACAACTACAAAATGGTAATTATATGAGGTGAAGGATGTTTAACCTTATTGCAGTAAACATTTTGCAATATATACATGTATCAAATCATCACATCATACATCTTAAACTTACACGATGTTATATGCCAATTATATGTCAATAAACCTGGGGGAAAAAAGAACAGAAATAGGTAATTTACAAAAGAATAAATGCAAATATCAAATTAACAAACAAAGCTCAAAGTCACTAGTCTTTCAAGAAATATACGTTAAAACAATGAGATTTCATTTCTCATTTTTACCTTTTAAATGAATTATTCAGTGAATGTTTTCTTTCACGTCTACTACGTGGCAGGCCCTGTGCTAGCTATAGAATATCCATGGGGGAAAATGGACACTGTATACAATGTTGATGTGAGTGTGAATCAGTAGTTTTCTAGAGAGTGATTTGGGAATGTGTATTTAAAACTTTTGACCTAATAATCGCATATGTAGAAAATAATCAGGGATTTTTCTGAAGATATAACTTCTAGGGTATTGATTTACACTATTTTTTAAAATAACAAACCAAAATATAGATAATTTCAAACAATGTGGATTGGTTAAATGCATTGATATATCTAGCGGATAGAATATTATACAGTTATTAAAAGTCATGGCGAAGAATAGAAATATACTTAATAATATGATATAATGTTATAAAATATGATGTTGATATGTTAATAAAATTACTTTATGAGGCATATGCATTGGAAAACATTTAATAGGATATTTGCCAAAATATGAACAGTGATTATCTCCAAGTAGTGGATTATTAGTTATTTATTTTGTCAGAGCTACCAAACATTTAAAGAATAAATGATACCAATTCTCTACATTCTCTTTCAGAAAATAGAAGCACAGGAAAGAATTTCTAACTCATTCTATGAGGCCAGCATTCTCCTAATACCAAAACCAGATAAAGTCATTACAAAAAAAGGAAAACTACAGACCAATATCTCTCAAGAACATTTATCTCTTTCAACCTCTTGACAGACACCACCGCTGCCCAGAAAGCCAAACCAGCTTGTGGGGAGAGGGACAAAAATCAGCCTTTGAGGCACTCCCTCAGGGAATACTAGACAGGTCAAAATGCACAATCTTTTTAAAACAAGGTCCATATTATCCCTCTGGTGCCAGAAAGTCAGACCAGGAACACAAGCTGCCACCCCTACAGCTGCCCCTGCCACGCAGGGAAATGGGAGATGTTAGGCTGATGGGCAAAAATTCTGCCATGCTCTCTTTCCAAAATTCAGCTGTCCTTTTCTTCATAAGCAGCCCACTCGTTGCTGTAGGTTTTTGAATAGATACAAGAGTTCCAAACATGTTGATTCTCTCAGTCCTTGTCGGCTTATGTTTGTTTCAGTGTATGGAGTGATTCTTTTAGCTCTCTGCTCTAACATTTTCTGTGACATCACTCTAGTATGTATGTTTACGTTTTCAACACATCTCAATTTGGATACTAAATTTTCTTTTTTTTTCTTCCCCCATGCTGATTTATTTTTTCTTATTTCTATAGTATTCTTCACATTTTAACTTACCATGTGATTTACTTATTGACTATGTACGTTGTTAATTATCTGTCTCATCCCGCTAGAATACAAGCTCACCAAGGACAATGACCTTTCTGTTTTATTTACTGATATGTCCTGAGAACTTAGAACAGTGTCTGGCATATCAGTAGGCACTTGGTAAATATTTGTTGAATGAATTAACA